TTTGTTCAGCTGTGGTTGTTTTAAAGTGCTTTACAAATAAAGTTGAGTTGAGTTGAGAGTCATACCACCCGACTCTATCTGCAGTCCTCGCAAATATAAGAAAATAAACTCAGCCTGAGGTGTGACGTGAAGAGGAAAATATCTGTGACAGTATAAGTGAGTAAGAGAGTCGGTGAGGGCTGTTTTCAGATCAAACACGGTCAGGTGATGCTGTGATGGGCGGCAGGATTGGACCATCCATCACCAACGAAGAAGAAGAAGAGATTGTAAATGACAGGAAGAGAAAAAGCAGAAGTCTCACATTGAAACCAGATGCAGCCGGGCTCCAGAGATGAGAGGAGCATTATGGACTCAACCTAAAGGTCCGGCTGGCATATTTAAAATCTGTCAGAGTCATCCATCAGCGGGTCAGAGCGTGTTCATGATCGTCTCCAACAGGACCGAGCAGGGATCTGTGGGTCATATGAGTGTGTTTATGTGTCCGCTGTGTGAAAAGCAAACTGGAGAATGGTCACCTATCTGTGAGATGGACGACATCCACGGCCCGGAGTCTGAAGAAGAGCATTGTGTGTGTGGAAACCACAGTGACGTCCCCGCTGGCTCAAAACAACCTCCCTGCCAGGACCGGCCTCTCTGTGGTTTGTTTACATTGAGAGCTATTCCAGACAGCGCGAGCACATGCCGGCGTGCACGACCACGCAGGCCGAGAAAACACCTCGAGCTAAAAACACAGAGCTGAAAAATCGGTCAAGGGGGCAGAAGGAGGGAACTGCTTTCTGTCCGTCTGTCCGTCCGTCTGTCCGTCTGTTTGTCTGACTCTCTCTCTTGCATGCACACAAAAACACACACACCTGTGGTACCCCTCCTTATTTTCCAGACCCGGTTCACACAGCTGGCTTGGCAGCGTTATGTGAACGCAGTGAGTCCGGGCCAGAGAGTTCTGCAGATCAGGAATGTGTGTGTGTGTGTGTGTGTGTGTGTGTGTGTGTGCATGTGTGTGTGTGTCTGCCTTGTATCTCTGTGTTTGTGTGTTAAACTCTGCATCTGTGCATATAAACATGTTTGTGTCCTCATGTTTTCCTCTGCCTACTCCTGTTTGTGTGTATTTGTGTGTGTGTGTGTGTGTGTGTGTGTGTGTGTGTGTGCGGCAGGATGTGAGCGATTGCTCCACGAGGGGGGAAGGATGATGGAGCTCTTAAATATGAATCATCAGCAGACGGTTGTGTCTGTCTCAAAGCCTCCTGGGAGCTCAAAACTCTCAGGAACAAAATCCTGATTGCAGATCTCTTCAATCAACTCCCACATAACCGAGGGGGGAAACCGCGAGGACGGATGGTCAAGGTGTCTTTTCCATAAGCTTCCAGATCTAAAGTCACAAAGCAGAGGTCAAAGGTCTCATATCGAGCTTTAAACGAACTTTGCAGAGTGGATTAGAAGGATTTTACAGGTATGCAGACGGCCATGACTGCTAACAGTTTTCTAAGAAGAATTTATCTCCCTGAATCTGTGACGGATGAGACGGCATGGAGAAAACATTAACTGAACCCGCTCAAAATTGGATTTGGCTGTTTGCAAAACCGTGACTGCTTTAGTATTAAAGATGAGTAAGGAAGAAAAAGATTTGATGGCATTTACTGATCTTTTAATTTAGCTAAATAAAAGCTGATATGTACAAATGCAAAATTAACTCCTCAGAGACGAGAATCAAACCCGGAGTTTTTGCAAAAATATAGAAATTAAGTTTAAAAAATCCTCTTCAATGTGGATAAAACAACCAAGAAGAGCAGAAATGTGCATTTATGAAAGATTCTGAGTTAGAAATGAAAACCTGAAAATGAAGCAGGATGAAAGTCGTGTAAAGAAACTCCAGCTTTGTTTATGAGGTTTCGTTAGAGTTAAGAAGAAACTGTTCTTGTGGTCTGAGGTTTAAGTCCTGATGAGCCGCATCGTCAAACGAGGGGAGGGAGTTTTTTTCTGACCACACACTGACTCATGAGCAGAAAAAATCTGATGCAGAAACAGCTCAGGTGAGTCGCCTTATGTAGATTCTCTATGTGGAAGTCTTTAACCTGAATGTTGTGACGCAGTTTGGTATGATGGTCGTTAAATGAACGGCTGTTTGTCTTTTCTTTAGTCTAAAGGTTATAACTCGCTCTATTATACATTTTTCTAGTAGTGTTGTTGTCCCAAAAAAAAAAAAAAAAAAAAAACGCCTGATCTTCTCAGTGAAGCACGGCTAGTAAACATTATGTCTGTCACATCTGGTTACTTTCAAACAGGGTCCAATAATGAAGACCCATGAAGCACCAAATACCAGCAAAGTTTGAGAGCGTTTAGCGAGTAATCCTACGACAGATTTGAGCCACGTGGCAAATAGAAAAAATGTGTAATTGTAACAATAACCACGGTAAGTAGGGCTGAGTGATACGGCCTCAAATCAATATCAGGATATATTGAGCAGTTCACCAACGAGAAATGGACGATAACTTCTCCACAAGCTGCTCACCCCCTCCCACATTAACTTCAGCCGCTACGACTTTTGAATTTATTTAATTTTTGACATCGAATATATTGACATGGACAAAATGACGTCAGTTATCGTCATAAATTTCGGTACTGCTCCCTTTCAGTTTATCGCCCAGCCCTAATGGTAAGTTTTGTTTAGTTGTAGCTGCAGCTTCTCTCGTCTGCTCCTCTGCTGTCTGCATGTCGGAGCTTCATGAGGGGACACTGATGCACCTTTAAGACCGGCCTTTTTACACCTCACATCATCATCAAACCAACCTGCACGTTAAACTGACCCCACTCTGCCCACTCTGGTCATTTTCAGACCTCTCCGGGTTACTGCTACGTCAGCGTGCCTGTACCCAGAACTACACAGCTAATCTGAACCAGACCTTCACTGTGAGCTCTTGATTGCCCGAGGATCAACATGGCAGACACGATGACACAAAAACGCACCTGACAGACGGAACGGCAGTAAAACTCACACCGCCACACTGCAGGACTTCCAGCTGCAGCTTCGCCACGATAACACGATCGCAGCTGCAGCGGCTTTACAGGCGCGCAATTACGGATATCTCTCAACAACAAGGCAAACAAGGTTATCTCCGAGTTTTTATGAGACCTGAAAAACAAAAACATCACACATGGTTTCCTGGCAGTCTGTGGTAATCACCATGGAGAGCTGGTGGACCATCAAAGATACAATCAGCTGCTTAAAACAACACAGTGGGCTCTGCAGCGCCTCGGATTTACGCTCAGATTTCTGTCCTGGCAGAGCTGCTGTTTGTTAAAGAACAGAGAAGGACTCGATTCTTCCTCCTCTGTCGACCCGTTTGTCCACTCAGGTCTGCTCTCTGTGTGGAAATGTGTGTGTGTGTGCTCTGCTTACACTGGTTCAGTTCTGTTGGATGTGAAGTGTTCCCACCCATCTCCACCCAGTCCTGAAATACACCAGGCAGGATAGTTACAGACACATTCACACACACACACACAGACTCTGTGAAAAGTAACTGTTTTAATCCCTCAATAATCCCATTATTATGAACCGGTTACTTTTTAATCCCATATAAATATAAACCCACAAAGATAAGAGACGGATGACTTTAAAACAGCTCAGACTAAACAAAGAGAAACACTCAGAGGGAAACCAAAGAGTGATCAGAGTCAACTATGAGGTGATGTCCTCAATAACTAATCACTGATGACTTTACTCTGACGGAAACACGACTCACTGTCCTTTAACTGACAACAAAACTCGGTGTTGACCAATGATGAGCCGTAAAAATGCTGTTTTTTTCTCAGCACGCGTCTTTTCAGAGTCCTGATTCTTCGACCAAAGTGGAGCTGAGGAGACCATTTAAGCAGACACTCCACGTTCCACATTCTGGTGCAGACAGCTGGCTGCACACCGTGAACCAAAATTATGACTCTGAGTGTGTGTGTGTGTGTGTATGTGTGTGTGTGTGTGTGTGTGTGTGTGTGTGTGTGTGTGTGTGTGTGTGTGTGTGTGTGTGTGTGTGTGTGTGTGTCAGCACCTGATGGATCTTCAGTTTCATTGTGTGTTTTGTTGAGCAGAGCCAACGTGAAGTCAGTCCTTCAAGCTCTACCAGCCGGCTCACTTTAGTGCACGCCTCGGCTGCACCGGCGTGATATCTCTCGGCGCTCATCACGGTTGTTGCAGCTTATTTTGGTGCGTCGGTCTTACGTCTCATGTCTGAAACAAAACAGTAACGATACTGAGTCTAGAAATCAATAAAACAGCTGGTTTTAAGCGAGGCAAACTGCATTTTAACAATAACGATTTTAACAGTATATCTTAAATTCTCATGCTGTGTGCGCTGAGAGTAGGTGTGTGTCTTTGTGTGTGTGTGTGGGTTCATGGGTGGGTGTGTGGGTGGGTCGGGTATTATTGTTGTTAATTGTTGTTTTTAGTCTCTGTGAGGAACTTTAAACTACTTTTTTTTTTGTCTGAAAAGTGCCATAAAAATAAAGTTGAATTTGGAGTTTGCATTAACCCGCCAGCTGTGGTTTGAGTCCATTTTGGCGCCCCCTGTGGACAAAGTGGAATGACTCTTTAACCCTTTGCTAATTTTAGATGATATGTTTGTCTTTTTACTTTTAAAAGTTTAGTTTGCAGTTCAGGTTGAATCTTTGTTGTGGAAAATAAAAACTGTTTCTGTAGAGCGCTCTTAAACCCTTTGTTAGAATAACTTTGAGCTCATCATGATACTGGGATTTAATTTAAGGACAATACTGATCAATAAACACTCCTATACATTAAATGGTCTGATGAAGTTGCTCAAAGGCTCCTCGGCAGTATCATGAACCTCTGCAGCTCTGCACTCTTCTGCAGGACTGAGGAGGAGGAGGAGGAGGAGGACTTGCACGCCGCTGTCGGCTGTACATGGAAGTGATCCAGATCATGAGGGCTGGACTGGATCCAGGAGCAAAAAAAGGAAAAGCCTGGCAGGATCATTAAGAGGGAGCTCTCCGCTGGAGAGGGCGCGCGCACACACACAAATACACACACTCACAAACACACTTGACACACAGTCGGAGCAGAGCAGAGCGGAGGAGCAGAGAGGAGCTCTGTCCAGATCGGTGCCTGACGCACGGACGACGTTTGTTTTTGCGCGACTTGTCCGCTGGTTTTTCAAAGTTTTCCTACTAACTGAGAAAAGTTTTGACCATCTCTGGTGTCAGTTTGTTTTCTTATCAAGTTTGGTTCCGTCCCTTCACTCTTCTTTGGAGTATTATCGGGATTTAGGAGTTGGATACGGTCACGACGCGCAGGTAGAGTAGAAACAGACTTCTAATCCTCAGTGAAGTTTTGTCCACGATAGAAAGGGAACCGTTTAAAGCACATTTTCTCATTCTTCCCCTTTCCTGTCCTTGCAGAAACCTCACAGTGAAAGTTCTCCCTGGATAGTTTCTTCTCCACAGGAGCGCAGAGCAGCAGCAGCAGCAGCCCGACGCGCTTCAGAGAGGGAGACTGGTCGGTGCGTCTTTGGCTGTTTTTATTGAATTACCCGTCCCAGAAATGGTGGGGCACCTACACTTACAAGCGATGGATGATAGTCTGAAAGGAAAGAACCGGGAAGGGCTGCTCGACAGTCCGGATTCGGGTCTGCCCCCTAGTCCCAGTCCGCCCTTCTGCTCCCTGTCTCCGGGTCTGATCGAGTCGCGCTCCGGCAGCTGCACGACGCCCGTGGAAAGTCACCATGGATTTTATAAAAAGGAGAGCAGAGAAGGCAAACTGGTAAGAAACACAACAAGGGAGGATTAATCCTTTGATTTGAGGCGATTCTGTGACCTGAAAGAGGGGGTTCGGTTCTGGTTCTGAGTCGACTTCAGTCATTTCTTTGACAACCTGAATTAAAGGATAAAAAGACTCGAATAATGAGGCTGCTGTGAGAGAAAACCCAAATCTGAGAGCAGTTTAGAGCTTGGCAAGGAACAGATTTTACTTCAATCCTACTCATACAACATCTGGAAGCTCTCTCTCTCTCTCTCTCTCTCTCTCTCTCTCTCTCTCTCTCTCTCTCTTTGCTCTGAATTCCTCAGCTGCAAACTTCAGATGTTGCACTTGTGCTAAAGATGCCACAGTCCCTTAATAATCCTGAAAAAATCTCTCCGTACATCAGCTGAGCACAAACCTCACGCTGTCAGAGGGGTCAGCGGGTTGATTGGACCCAGTTGGGTTTCCAAGCTGGGGTCCGGGGGACTCTCAGGGGTCCTCACCAAGATCCCAGGGGCTCCCTGAGGGCGTACAACTGGGACTAATCAACCCGAGTTTTTGACAGAGGCTGGTTCTGGTAGGATGTCTCTAAGTAAAGGTACACGCAGCGTGAGCAGGACTGTGTTTTGGTCATGGTCTGTGGTGGATTAACACAGAGACCCTGATGAGAAAGTCCAGATCGGACTTCTTTTTTTAAAGTCTGTCGTGATGAGAAGGCCGAAGAGTCTCAGGGCAGTTATACTCAGCAGCCAGTTCCACTCTCAGCTCCATAAAAGCTCCAAATAAGTCATTAGAGTCAGGTCTCTGAGCTGCTGATGACTCACTCAGCCTCTGTAGAAAACACTGGAAAACAGATAAGTGTTTATACGGTCAGCACTTCCCTGTTTGGGCTCTTTAAAGAGAAGCTTTGTAAACATGAAAACCTTCTTTTTGGTCATCTGTTTGATTCTTATTCTCTTCTCTTTTTATTTATCTTTAACACACATCAGTTATCATCTTATTGAAGGTGTCTGCAGTATTAGCATCCTGTCGTTGTGACCCTGACCTCATTTCAGGTGTTACACGGCCCTGCCGTGTCTCACTGAGGTATTGATCTCTTGATGTTTACTGGAAGTTTGAACTCAATCTTGACGGCAAAGTCACCAGGTTGAAGATGCTTGAATGAGTTGTAGAAAAACAGAAGTGTGTCTGTATGAAGGATTGAGACAAAACCTTCATCAGCACCAAGAAAACTGGATCTGATTTCTATCACTATATTTGAAATGAGGAGTAGAAACGGGTCTCAGAGTAGTCATAGAAGAAACTCATTTGTGGTGGATATTTCAATCAAAAGTCTTATTTGCCTCTTCTGCAGGATGTCTGTTTAGTCACTATTAACTCACTTACTACAGAAAATACTTAAACTCGCCTAAAAGTATAAAAACTACGGTTAGAAAGTCTGTAACTTCTCCTCTAACTCAAGGTAAAGTCTTCCTTCCAGTGTGTCACATGACCAAATTACTCCAATCAGGAACAACACAAATTTACCAGTTGACTCTACGGCTCTAACATCGCTCTTCTTTCATATAAAACATCAGGAGGATGATGCCGTCTGAAAAGTCGAGTTTATTCATCCTTAAAAACATCCCATGCCGACCAAAGTGCTGAGAGACTAAATGAAATAAAACTCCATAAAAGACCAAAAGTCCTCACGCACTCACAACAATCCAAAAGCAGAAATACAGCCAATCAAAGACCTGCTAAAAGTGATTAAATAATCAATAAGAGGAGAAAGAGTCGATTTGATCTAAAGGCAGAAAAGAAAAGTCTTAAAGTTGTGAACAGATCTGATCCAGAGACGTAAACAGTTCCTGAAACTGTTCGTCCACAACAACGGTCCAGTCCGCTCTGTTTTTAGGTCTAAATCTGAGGATTTCTCTGAGCTGATGGTTGTTCGACTTCAACATTTAAAACCTCAAATCAATCGATAACATTTCAAATCAATCCTCGGGTGAACAAGAAGACAGTGCTTTAAAGATGGACTGCTGCTTTTTTAAAGCTTCAGTGAGGAACTCTTGGCTTGTGTTGGTTTTGGCGCCCTCTGTGGACGAGGCAGTCATTGCTCAGCTTGTCCTCTACGTGCTTTTCTGACAACAAAATTCTAATTTTAATGATTTTTCCTCGTCAAAAGTATTATTTTAATTAAAGTCTATTTCATAAATGTCAACAAACTCTCTGCTGTCTGTCTGACTGACTGACTGACTGCTGAACCAGTAAGGTAGTTTTTTATTCACACTAAGACAGACCTGATATTGTCATAACAGAATATCCTCCATGGAAACTGATGGGAAATGACGCCGTGCCCCACTTTCTCGCTTCCTTGTGTGGCACACGACGAGGCTGATTTCACTGAAAATAATTTCCAGGTCACTCCCAGTTTCAAAGTCTTCAGAACAAGTCTGCGCAGGTCGGGGTGGCTTTTACAGAGTCTGAAGGAGGCCTCAGAAATGCAGCGCTGCATCCTGGGAGTTGCGTGACATTTGGTGTGGTGGAGGCCGAGACAGACAGAGAAAGAGAGAAGTCCTCTAATCCTCTGGAGGTTCAGATTAGTGGGACTGCCCTGTTTGTGGTTTCCCTTTTTAAAGATCAGATCTGATGGAGGTTTTTGTTTCTAATCCTGTCTGCGCTTTCAGGACCAATCAAACTTTCCATCAGATTCAGTCTTTCAGAGTTCCCTCGGCTTGTTTGGGTTTACATGTGCGTGATTTTTCTCTCTTTGTGAGTCTATTTCGGTGTTGTTGTTTTTGTACGCCACCTAAGAACAATCCTGCGGGTCTATTTCAGGGTGTTGGGGGCTTGTTAGTGCGGCTGCAGGACATTGCATAAGTCTTTGATGACCTCTCACTTCTAAATTAAACGCTCTGTTTTAAAACATGGCTCAGATTCATGCAGATGGAGGATAAATGATCTAAAACACGTCTTATCATGTTATTAAATAACCTGAGGGGTTGGTTAATATGAGCGTGGTCGTGTAATCTAAGGTTTTTAGAGCTGCATGAGGTCGTGACCACGTCCTTGCAACGATCGAGTGTCGATGGATTAGACGAGAAGAAGATCTCATGACTTTTTCTAAATCTGCCTCACTGAGATATCGATGCTGCAACACTAACGTCCTCACACACCGAGGATGTAAACTCAGATCTTCTCTTCAGCAGAAGTTGGATGCGGCGTGTTTGTCTTGGCGTTTGTCTCCGCAGCTCTGCTCGCTGTATTGTACTTTGTGAGGGTTTCTCAGCTGCAGAGTGTTTTTCCTGGGCAGAAACGGGGCTTTTCAGGGGGTAAAGCTTTGTGAGCAACCCGGGGGGATCCACCGCCTGGAGGTGACCTGCCTGCAATTCATAAGTGTTTGCTTTGCAGAAGTTGCCAGAATACACGGTGCAGAAATACCTGGGATGCTCTCCACGGTGGAGCAGCATGAGGAGGACAGACAACAACATACTCGCAGTTTTTTTAGGTCATAAAAAGCAGCAGCAGAAGAAGAAAGCAGCCAGTAGATGAGCTGCTTTTAGTCCTGTGTGCTGAAAGTAGCAGCTGTGAAAGTTCAGCCCCAACAGAGCTGCAGATAGTGTGTGTCGACGATCGGCCTGTAGGTAAGACGAGCCGCCGTGCCCTTGGCCTGTTCTCGCTCGTCCCCTGTAGTGGCATGTGCGCTCGACTGAGGCCAAACCGAAGCATGTGACAGGCCCCTGTGTGAAATGTGAGAGGGTCTGGAGCTGCGGACGGGGCGCTGCTGGATTCAGAGGTGGTCGGCGTGTGAGGAGACACTCACGCAGAAACCTCAGTTCACAGCATCTGTGTTTGTGATCGGTGACGCTTTGACGCTCCACGGTGGGCGCTCGAAGGTCAGGTGGTCCGGCACCAAAACAAACCTGGATCATGTGGACGGTTGAGTATAGAAGTGAACTGTAACCTTCAGTTTCATGCATCGCTGTATGAAGAGGTAACGGTCTCTGACATCAGAGTGTAAACACGGTGTGAAGGGCTGGACGTGTCGAAGCACTTTGAGATTATATCAGATTATAATGAAGGTGTTTTAGTGCCGACTATTTACTCTGGACATGTACGAAAACTGCTACAATCTCAGAGTTAAACTAAACTCAGTTTTCAACCATAAACATCCAGGAAACAGGCAAGAAAAATGTCAATAAACAAACAAACTCTTCTCTGAGTTAAAGGCACAGTCAGGAGTTTTCACTGATTTAAAATCATGATCCAGTAAAATAAGATCCCATTCATTTACTTCCCCAACAAACACATCCTTTGTCAAGCACTCATCTTTACAACAGCTGGTCATCCTGCTCAAACAGATCAACAGGAAACATCCAAATTCTTTGCCGTACCTTTAAGAGCCCGAGTTTAATCTTTGAGTTGTCATACCCACAGAAGATGAGCGAGATAACCCCACAATAAAAAACATGAACTTCCTCAAATCAAACTACGTCCTTTGTGTCTCTGCAGCAGCAGAATGAGAGGTGAGGTCCTCTACTGTCAGCGTTTTCTATAAAGTTAAAAGGTTGAGAAAGTTAAACAGTCTGACTGAGCCTGCAGGCAGCTGAATAAAGAGGTCTCCAGTAGACCGACCGACCGACCGGCTAATGATTAAATGAGAAAATAATCGTCAGATGGATTGAGTGTTAAAAGAATGATTAACTCCAGCCCTGCGAGCAATCACTGGGACATTAAGTTCCACTCTAACGTCAGGGGAGGTATTAGGAGGAAATCTCTCTATTTGTTTTGGTTCTAGAAATATTTTACTCATTAGAAGTCATTCGACAATCTCTCTGTGTGTCTGGATACAAAAGGAGCTGAGGGAGTCAGCGCACAAAGTCAGATAAGATTAGGAAAGAGTGTCCATGTCGGATCATCTGAACTTCTGCAGACTGAAACTAAGAAGAATAAGTAACAAAAGTGTGGACAGACTCTGGGATTTGACTTACATGTTATTTTTCAGGTGATATTTGAGGAGAATGTGCTAAAAACAAGACACACTGAGAACCTCTTGTAGCACTTATCACAAGATTTCCTCTCATCAAAGTCCTCTGCATTACTCTCGTCATACTCAAATAGTCCTCAGAGGAACCGTAGGTTTAAGAGGTCAAAGAGGTCCAAAAGGGACAGTGTCTTACATGTGTGCAGGGGCGAGTCTAGACATTTCTGAACAGGGTGGCCCACCTCTCAGAGAGAGACAAAATCAGCAAGCTTAAGAGAGTCAAACTTAAACAGTGAGTCCAGTCTTTGCTCACCTGGCTCACCACCTTATATACAGAAATAACTACCAATGCAGAAGGAAATGAAACTCAATTTCCATAACTCAGTCTGTTTTCAAAGACACAACAACCTCAATAGTCAGAGGACGAACACCAGATCTGAACTTAAGTTACATTTCAGCGTAAAAAAGGCTCCTACTGAAGCGCGGCCTAAACACTTCAGTTTAAAGCAAAAATCAGGATCTCAAAGATCCACCCCTGCCTGCGTGAGTTATGTGTTTGACAAATATATCACCCTGCTGTCTTGAGCTTCTTCAGACTGTCTGTTAAAAAAGAATATCTTGTTATGAATCACTCTTTCTGACACCTGCTCTGAGGCATCATTACAGACTTTTAAACACTTACTGTAGAAATAATCCATCTTTTCTCTTCAATTATCATATTTGCTCTTGTAGGCCATAAAAACATATCAGTATATATTTCATAACCACTTAAAACTCCCCACAGGAGCTTTAAATTCCCCCTTTACCATCTTTTCACTCCAAGTTTTACTTTTTATCTTCTGGATACAGCTGCTCTACAGACTCATATTTTTTTTGTGTGTTTCACATTCATGCAACTACTGTAGACTCGACATCTGTGAGAGTTCACACACACACACACACACACACACACGGTCAGGGTCAGGAGCCAACCTGAGCTGCAGTCAAACCCTGTGAATGAGAGACTGACCGACAACACTGTGTTTAACTGGACCCACATAGTCTCATGATCTGGCATGGTTTGTGAGTGTTTCCTCCACTGCTGTGTTTTCTGTCTAATTGTTGTTGTAGTAATAACCGTATGAGTTCTCATCAGGGGTCGATTAAGGAGGTTGTTTTCCCTGAAGCGGCTGGAAGTGATGTTTTTAATTTGTGTAACTTGCTCTGCCGAAACACACAAACGCGCCGGTAGTTTTTTTTTTCTTTCCTGGAATTCCTTGAATGGACACGTTGGCAGGCTGATTACAAACAGTTCAGCAGTTCATGGAGGGTTTTATGAGACTGTGACTCTGTTTCCTTCTGCACAGCTGCCGTATCTGCTGCTGAACTCCACTGGGCCAGACCCAAAGACTCGCATGCACCCGGTGTTCTTCGGAGAAAGCATTGAGGTCAACCCAAAACCAGAGCAGGAGATCAAGTAAGAGAACTTTGACCCAGAAAATACTTCAAATAGGCTTCTTTTCAGCACTATTCGCTTATCAACACTGCCCCCTGGTGGTCAACATTTGCAGAGTTTTTAAAAAGCTTTCACCTTCTTCCTTTCAGGTGTAACTCAGAGGTCAAGTACGACTCAGACAAGCATTACCGGGACCAGGTCTACTGCGCCCCCATCCCCACAGCGACCGCTTTCAGCGAGACAGTGGTGGCAGTGCGAGACTGCACCTGGAGGAGCTACAAGTCCCAGGTGTACCTGGAGCCGCGACAGAAGCCCATCAGCTACAGGAGCACCACCATCATCTACCCGAAACATGCCAAAAACACTTACCGCACCACGCTCAACTACAACGCCACCGGGTCCCGCCGCTGGTTTGTCTCCACGGTGCAGCTGGAGTCCAGCGAGGATACGAGTCCCTGTATCATCTACTCCGAGGACCTGTAGGGCCCAGACTAGAGAGAGGACGTCCTGGTCTTCATCTTGTTTTGTTTTTGGAACTTTGAAGGCCCAAACTGAAAGGGAAATACTTCGAGTAAAACGTTGAGATCCTGTTCATTGAGGAGGAAACTGCAGGAACCTTCATGAGTGTATTTAGACTTTCTACTGATGCAGTTTGTAAAAATGGAGGTGCTCCTCCGGCTGTTTCAATGGTTAATGTCTTATTTAATACCAGAGCTGACAAATTGGTGGCCTTTGCCCTCCCTCAGGTTGGAGTGTGAGGTGAGAAAAGACGAGGTGGTATGTGTGATGGATTTAAGACGAGTCATACCGATGCAAAGCTTTCTAATGTGGCTTTATTGCACTTGTTCTAGTCCTTCCAGTGGACTCGGTGTAGCAGGGGGTAATTTCAGTGCTGCATGTGAAAAATTTGGACCAAAAATACTTTAAAACAATCATGTTTTTGGAACAACGCTTCACGCTGGGACAAAAGACTTTGATCAAACATTTAAAAGGAGCACATTTCAATTAGTCTTTTAAAATTAAAAATGGTGATTGATTAAAAAAGACAAAGAAAGGGGGGAGACATTTGGAGCTTTTACAAACATGGTCAAGTGTGTAAAGTTTAGGGAGTTACTGGCAATATAAACTGTAAGTTTTCATTTTATAATCATATGAAAATAGTTTCCTGCTATGCAGAACAGACATGTCTCTATAGTGGCTTTAAATGGGTGAAACAAATACAGCTTTGGAGTTAGAAATGTGATTTTTATGCATTTTCTCAAGGTAACCAAATCAAAATGTCTTTGCCCAACACCCAGACTCTAAACATTTCTCTTTAATACAAAATAGGAAACTGTTACAATATGGATACAGTCAGAGATAGAGGGGCTCTGGTTTAAGGTTGTTTTGGAGCTGAAAGGAAGCAGAGAAATAAATAAATGAATGAATTTGGATAAAGATACTCACATTTCTGAGTGATGGACGGGTCTGATCCATCTTCTTCATTAGGGCTGTGATGGTGTAGGACCACATCATCTGTAGTAAAAAGATAATACTGTTGTCAGAGACTTTAAGGATGGTAAAAACTGTTAGCTTGGTTTGCTTTTAGTCCATTTTTGACCTGCTTTGGTTCCAGGTGGTGGAAACTCTGACAATCACAGAGCTAATGTAGAAACATATCTGTGTCATAACTGTTAATGCAACCTCTACAAACTTATCAACATTGACTTTATCAAACAGAAAAAGAGGGGAACTATTTTCAACCATATTTGACTGTAGGGTTTGGCGCTAAGATAACCGGATATCCGTCTGTCTCAACTGCCTTTCAAATTAAAGCTAATGCCGGTCTTCATTAAGTTGCACTAGCTATTTGTGAAATTATCTCAAAAGATTGTGAGTGTAATAACAGCGAGAAAACTTTAAATTGATTTAGTTAGGTTAATGGACGGAGTGTTAGAAATAAAGCTTTATGAACGTGCTAGAAACAAGTATAAAGTAGTATCATCCGACAGAAAACAGACGAAGAAGAAACAGCATACATTTAGCTAACTAGCTTTAGCAGTCCCCTCAAAGATGACGAGGCACTTTTAAAAGCGTTTCTTAACTAAGAAACAAAAACATCGTTAGATATTCAGGTTACTTATTCACGAAACATTAGAACTTTACAATCTTTCAACGTTACGATCCACCGGAAGCAGTAGAAGTATTTCAAAATAAAAGCACGGTTTGACGATGCCGCAAAAACGAACCTGAAAATAAAACGGAAAAGTTCCAAAATAAAAGCATGAGAAAACATCGTTTCCTTTCCGTTACAAGTAAATAGATAACTACATGTGAGGAAAATGTCTTAAGTAGTTAAGTTTATGGTGATAATGCGTTTCCTCACCCTTTCCCTCAGTTTGACCGATCATGTCTTTTAATTTTTAAAATTATAAAAAAATGGAGAAATAATGTCATCGCTATAGTATATTGATAACTTTGAAATGAAAATCAGATATTGTGACAGTTCAATTATTAATTTAGGATCAAAACAACAAATTTTAAGCTAATGGGTTGGCTAAGTAACTAATATAAACTGAAGTAATTTACGATATGTTGTAAAGAGAGTTAATCTGAAATCTTCGGATTTAAATTAATGTTTGAATTTTATATAATATCTCCTTTAGGTCGATCTAAACCATAGACTGTATATACTTGCATACAGGATATACAGGATATGATCTAAACCTGTCTTATTTGTCAGTAAGTTAGCATTAGCTTAGCTACTTTGGTTGTCTGTGCTAGCTAACACTCAGCAGATTTTGGCTGTACTTATATTTGATTGTAATAACTCTTATTTTAATGAGAAATAGTTTGTGCAACGCTACAAATGATGCTTCAATTATATGTAAACTCAACCGAGCAGAGTTTGGGCTCCGCTTAAATAACAAATAGCTGGTGCAACAAAGTCTTCTGTGTTTTCAGGTACCCACAGGTTAGCATGTCTGGCAGTTTGTGATTCAATAAAGAACTGAGGTGTAAAAAGAGGAGCAGAGGAAGATGTAAAATAGACTTTTATTCAGCATTTTCATGCCTTTTTTTTGTTTGTTTGTCTTTAATGTAAACGCTGGACACTTCATTAGGAACTCCTTTACGATTCAGCTGTAATGACAGTGACAACAAAACCTGAAACAGGCCGTTATAATCTCTGTAGAAGCTGTAGTATTGGATCATATCAAATTATATCTGAGGCCCTAATGAAGTAACCAGTGAGATATGTAAGAATTCAGATTATTGAACTCGGCAAATATTGAGACTTTGGACTTTACCTCAAAATTGTCTTAGATATGAGTTTTATTTCATTTTTAATGTGTTTCCCCAGCTTTCAGTTGAGGTCCTGAGCTTGCGTTCTTGTTTTTTTTTTTATATATATATATATATATTATAAAAACCCTCCTGGTGTGTAAAGGCAAAGAGAGGTGAAGGGCTCAAAGTGAGGGGGTTTTCATGAGGGAACAGTAAGTAGTGACAAGGAGAGAAGTCTTGTGATGGGTGAGATCATGAGGATGGTTTTAAGACTAAATTGGGGGTGTCGTGTTGAGATAACTGAGAGTTTTGTTACGTGTTGATGGTCTGTGAGATGTCAGAAAGTGATGAGAGAAAGTTGTTGGGTGTTAAATATTTCGTAGGTTTAATGTGAGATATTTTTGCGTTTCTGAACACTTGATTTTGTAACTGTAAAATATTTTCCTGTTGTATATGTGGCATCGAGGCACTTCATAATTCTCTTTATATTTTTGTACGTCAATCATTGCTCCTGTTCTGATCAAGGGAAATAATTTAAAAAGATGTATATCCTCCTTGAATAAAAAAGGAAATTCCCAAACCCACATTCTTTTGTCTTGACTACATTTGTTGCCTAATTCTGATCAGAGAACTCTGGATGTTCACGCTGAGTGCACGTTTATTTATCATGGCTCTGAAATAAGGGGAAAAGGAAGTTCTCCAGACACAAAGAGGCCCCGTTATTTTGCTCCGTTCTTGTTATTTTATCCGAAGCCAAGTTAGGATTTATGAAAACACAGCGCTGGAGACTTTCTCAGTGGTCTGGAAAAACTAGAGCAACACAATCAAAACACCTGATCAGTTTACAGTTTACATGAGAGTCAAGAAAAACGATGATCCAACCTCAATATCCACTGTGCGCTAAAACCTCACATCAGAGCGCACTGGGGACGAGTCTGTGAGGACTTCAAATGGAAGGATAAAGTGAAAAACACTTTTGTATCGAGTTTTACTGAGATCTTCTTCTTTCAAATATGTTATTACATTTTATGACGGGCTGAAGGAAAACTCGATATGTAAAGTTTGGCTCAAATTATGGGAAAGTTCTGCAGGGAAGTCTACGGGAATCGTGCGTGGAGAAAAGGGTCTGGGCTCTTGTTTGGCTCCACAGAGTCTCGTCAGGAGGAGGTCACAACACACATAGTTTGGCCTTTTACACAGAGGGAACCATTTCAAAATACATTCAATATGAATCTGTTGAAACAGGCCTTTACTGCCCCCTGGTGGAGTTCAGCCTTCATTTCTTTGTAGCTGCAGGATAAAATAACTCACACACGGTAAATAACAGCACTCTGAGACCATGAATGGCAATAAGCTTTTTATTTAAACATTAAGGCAGTGTCTTTTTTGTTTTCATTTTTACACTGCTATCCACAAAGCTTGCTGGTGGGCATGTAGAATTTGACCATGTGAATATTTCTTTTTCTTTTTTTTTTTATCGTATTACCAACCTTGAAGCAAGCCACATAAATATTTACATCTCTTCAGTTTTATATACAATCCTTGCTATTATACAGTGGGTTATAATAAAAAAAATCATTATGCACAAAATGGTTGAACAATGAATGTACTGTTTATGTCACCCCACCCCACCCCGAACCCCACCCATGTTTGGACAGTCCAGGGAACACGTCAGAAATTAACTCTCATGCCGTTTATGACCGTTTTTGATTTGTGACATGACCGCAGTCAAAATAAACTGTGTGCACAAAAAAGAAAAGGATGCATGTTAAAATTCATCTCAGTATACTTTTAAAAACATCGTACAAGTCTGTCAACTGTTTAGGGAGCAGCTGGATATGGCTTAGTCTGTTGAACCATCACATTCTTTCATTTCATCAGCGGACAAATGATAAACACGCAGAGAGACCGGCGGCGGCGGCGGCGGACTAACTTCTGCTTTGCACGATGAAAAAAATGAACCGTCCTTACAGGAGAAACAACCCGACCATAAAACTGTTTTGTGCAGGTGTGGCGTGCTTTATGATCGACCGACAACAGATATGACGACAGAGGAAGAGGAGGTAGTCCTATAACAGTCATGTTTGTGTTGTGACAGAATGATAAACGGATGACAGAGGTTAGTCTTTCTTTAAACACCCGACGTCTTCGCCGCCTTCGCTTCAGCGTTCAGGCGGCAGAAAATCAAACTGCTTTGCGACATCGATAAGGAGGGGGTGTTCAAAAAGGAACGTGTGCACTCACAGTATGATGGAGAAAACGACGAACAGGATGAATGTTTTTCTTCAACCTTATCTGAGAAACAGAAACGGTGTGATGGAGTAAAGGACTCACAGTGGAGGAAACGTCTGATGCAGGCCTAGTTCAGCGATTCTTTTAGTTTTTTTTAGGGTAAATCAAGAATGAAACAGTTAAAAGCTACGACTGTGATGAACGTGGAGACAAAATATTTTTAAAATAGGACGTTTTGTTTGCTCGTTTGTTTCAGATTTCCCTGCGTGGACAGTTTTCACCGTCAGGGGGGCTTAAAGAAAAGAAATTGTGCGTCACTCGATAAATTCAGCTCTGTAAAGGTAAAATAAATGGCACTTAACACTAGGAATATCTCGTAACTTTACAAAAGATCTGCTGCCTGGATGAAGAGTCAGGCTTCTGCTTCTCCTCTAGGCAGTCAAAGGTCAGAGGTCACAACAGCTCCTCACGATGGGAATCAATCGCTGTGGACTGAGAGAAAGATGGCTTTTTTTCACGTCACCTCTTCGTACAAACTCCCAGAGTCGTCTCTCGAAGCGTCACTGAGAGTGGGAGCGATGAAGCTGACCAAGAAGAGGAGTAAATGGAGACCTCCGGGATGGGGTTTCTATTCTTGAGTCCATTTTTTTCACCTGCCCAGGAATCACAGATTCTTAAAAATGCCGTGAACAGACTGACAACTAAGTGCTTAATATCCAAAAACGGGTTGAACAAACACAGACATGGTTAATATCAAAACAGTGAGAAAGTGTCACTTGTTTGTTTCAGTGCCATCCATCTGGCAAACCATCGCCCCTGTGTGGACGCCTGAAGTCAACAGGCCTCTGCCGTTCCTCTGGACCCCTCCCTCTCCTCATATATGACATCAGCATGAACAGCATGTTTACCCTGTAAACCAATGATATGACCCTCCCCCCATTACAATCTCTGCCCCGCCTCTTCCCCCCCCAAAAAAGATACATCATTGCAGATAATAGACAACAAATGACACCATCAAAAGTTCACCATCAAAATGTACGACAGGTCTCAGCTCACGTTGTTCCAAACACAGGACTGGACTGACTGAATTCAAAAGAAAGAACCAAAGAAGGAAAACAGGATGTCGATTCTCCTCTCGTCTCGTCTCGTCGCCCTCGCGTTCCCGTGTTCTGCTCGTGGAGTCCACCGTGAGGAAACGTGAGAGGCGTGCGGGTCGCTGCTGCTTCAAATCTGTCTCTGGCGCAGCCGCCATCAGGTTCATGATCAGACCGACGACACGACCTCAGAGTCCTCGCCAAGCGTCAGCACATCAGAGCGCTACACCCTGAAAAGGTGCAGGTGTGTCTCCATCGATAAGGCCAGTGAGGAAAAGTAGTAAAGTTTAAAAAAAAAAAAAAAGAAGTGATTTGTCCTTTAGAGTAGTCCTGGAGTGAATGCATAAGTGCTAACACACACACATGCACGCACACACACGCACGCACACACAGCAGCAGTGTCTCCGCTCCTTGTTGGCATCACGAGTGTGTGAGAGGAGGATCCTTCTAGATGACGGTGGAGGAGGTGCAGAGAGGAATGGTGCAGGGAGGTTAGCAGGTGTGTATGTGTGTGTGTGTGTGTGTGTGTGTGTGTGTGTGTGTGTGTGTGTGTGTGTGTGTGTGTGTGTGTGTGTGGCTGCAGCAGCACAGAGTTGGTTGACTGTTAGTGGGTCCTGTGGTGCAGGTGGTGGGTTTCTGGGTCACTCGCTGTCAGACAGGGTCTCGTACTGAGACATGAGCAGAGGTTTAGGCTCCTCCTCCCAGGACCGGCCCTGTCCGGGCGCTAACCCGGGTCCCTGGCCCCCTGGCTGTCCAGAGGAGGGGGAGGGGACAGACACCGTGCCGCTGGGGAAACGCATCATCAGGGGGTTACACGGGAAGGGGGTGGGAGTCGAACCTGCAGAGATCAGAGTAGAAACCGGGTCAGGGTGCGAATTTTCCTCCTTTAACAGAAATAAAAAGTGTCTCTGGACTCGTCAGGTACCTGTGGATGAAGGCCGGTCCTCCCACACACGGTTAGTGAGAGGAGTTCGTCTGTTACAGTCTCCCTCAGAGTGGACTGAGGACACAGAGGACGGTCTCTCCCCACCCGACAGACCGGGTCCTGGAGATTTGGCTTTCCTCCCGTTTGAGCGTCCGCTGCCCTTTGAGGACTTCCCCCCTGCAGAGAACAGAAGACAGGAAGCTTTAATCTACTGCTGCTCATTTATTTTATAGATAATTAGACTCGAGTTTAAGAGGAGCTTTGGTTTTAGGATCGATGCTGAGTCAGGGGACCGAGGAGGGCCGCCTTAAAGTTCTGAACTAACCAAATCCTGAAACAGATCCAGTCTTTCTGGAACTTTCTCAAACTGGTGAAATAAATTAGTTTGACAACAGTCTTAGAAGAAGCTTCAGTGAGTCTCCACATTCAAAGAGGAGACACAATCATTGATTAAAACAGTTCATAATAAACATTTGAGCCAAATCACACAATGAAAACTCGCCGGCTAAAGAGGATTAAAGCAGAAAAGAGAGTTTTCAAAGAAGCTCTGATCTGACGAGTTCAGATGAGTCGGTTTTCTTTGAGGACTAAACAGCCAACAAAAGCCTCGTTATTGATCTCAGGGTGGATGTCGGAAACTCAAACGTTTGGTTCAAGTTTTGGAAAAGTTTGGAAATCTTTTCCAGATGAAATTCTCGGTTGATGAGAATCTCTCCAAACGAAACGTCACAGCGCGGCGTCTAACCTTGAGAGAAACCGTCGTCAGCCACGTTGGAGCCCATCATGTTGGCGGGGTTGGATGGAGAGCGCTCCTCAGACTGGTCGTCATATTTGCCCATTAAGGCCTTTCTTATGATGGCCTCCAGTCCGATCGAGTTCCCGGGGGTCTCGGGAGCCGGGTGGGTGCGGACGCTCACAGGACCTATGAAAAGAGGAGAAAGTTAGAAGGTAAGAAGGACAGAGAGTAGAAACAGAGACAGGCAAGAGGGGAGGAGACGAAAGAAGGAGAAGGAGGGATGTGAGGAAGCATCGCTGCAGGAGGTCAGAACCACGAGAGCAGAGGAAGTGATTTGACGTCTTTATTTTCTCTGAAACTTAAACATCTCTGCCGAGTTTCTCCCCTCAAAGCTGGTCTTCATTATCTGTCAGATTTATTTCCAGAGTTAAAATCATCTATCCCTCTATTTACTGGAATAAAAAAGCTGATTTGTTTTCATTCTGCCGTGTTTTAAAGCTGTCTGAGGATCTTTTAATTCACAGTCGAGTTTCACAGTCACAGCACAGCTCCACTAAGACGCTAGCCCGTCTCCATCTTTATTAAAACATGACAGAAAATAAAAGTGGGTCACCATCGTCTCCTCTCTCACTATAAATAAATTAAAGAAGCCTTCAGATGAAAAGGTTACCTGCAGTTGTGGAGGCTGGCATGTTGAAGATCTCTGTTCCAGGCTGACCCGGGTCTGAAAAAAGGAAAAGAGTTTCAGAGTCGGTTCCCTCGGATGAATCTAACATGAGCGTTTCTTCAGACGGTGAAATCCAGACTTACTGAAATCGCCTTCTTTTCCCACCGTGTTCATCTTCTTATTCATTTCCTGTTTCTGCAGCTCTATGATGGCCGACGTGTTCTCCGTTAACTTGCTGAAGAAGGCGGGATGCTGAGAGGTGTTGGGAGGGGAGCGGGAGCCCATCCTGCAAGAACCGGGTCAACAAAGGCGGGGGATACTTCATAATTCAAGTCACAGTAAACATCATGAATATTCAAACATAAAGAGTCTGTTCTCCTGTCCCTCTGCCTCCTCCCATCACTCGACCTCGTCCCCGAACAGCAAACTCTTTCACTCAGCTCTTCATAGAGGACAGAAACTCTGACGGTCGATCAAAACACAACCCAAAAAAGTTCAAAAGCAGCAGCTGATGTCTGCACACACTGTTTCCACATGCTGCAGAACGATAGAGTATCTATTATTTAGACTTTTGAGAGTTTAAAAAAAGCACCAGAGCTTATAGAAAAATCACATCTACAGTCCTTACTTCAACCAGAAACTGCAGTAAAGTGAACGAAGCCAGAGGTGATTGTTGACCAGTGGAGAGATGAGGGTAAGACAGAACGCCGGTTTAGAAAACAAACCCTCCAAAAACTCATTCTCTGTTTGTTTCGGTTCAGCTGAACTCTGATCCCCGTCTGGATCTTCACACCAAGTGTAGACGAGCGAGCTGAGTTTGGTTTGCATGTTTGTAAGGTCACATTTCTTCCCTCTGCTACGCCCACCGTCACGACCAAGACACCCCTAAATCTCCTCGCTCATGAGTGATATTCTTTAAAGACACACAGATGTCCTGTTAGAGTTCGGTCCATGTCAGAAAGCTGATAAAAACTAAACAACTTTAAATAATAATGATTCAGAGGAAGTCTTTCATTACGACCCGTCACTGCTGTTAGGAACATCTCATTTATTTAGAGGATCAAACGTCGGTCTGTGTTTGGAGACGTTTTCTGTAACCGGGTTGGTTCCTGTTTTGTTGCAGTGGTCTCCAAACTGCTGTTCTGTTCACATCGTCTGATTTCTTCAGGTCTTAAAATAAGGTCTAGGTTTCTGCAGCTTTAAGGGGATTTTAAGTGATCAGTAAATGAGGACTGGAGCGTCAGCTGGCGGTAAATGAGACCTGTAGACTAAGACTGAAACTGACCCCCAAGAAGCTTTTGAAGAAGCTTTAAACACCGAGCGACACGATAACCCGATCACTTCAGCTAATACCACCAATAAAAACTATTTGCAGTCAGCTGTTTCAGCGGAACGTCTGCAGTTACCCTTGCTCCCCCTGGTCCATGGGGTAGGAGGCGCCTCCCTGGACTTCAGGGTCAGAGTTCGCTCCGGCGGGAGACACCGGCTCGATGCCGTCGTTTGAGACGCTGACCGGGGACGACTTGGACTGAGGAGGAGACCTGCAGAGACAGACGGACAGATTTACATGATAGATGTGGAGCTGAATCAAATCAGAGGTTTGTTAGTCAAATCGGATCTTGGTTTCCCCTCATGTGAAACCAAAGACTCAAGACTGTCTGGGATCCATGAGGACATCATAGCTGACCTCTTTCTCCTCTCTATAGTCTTGTTCAGGTTTTTCTTCTGATACAGGACAGTAACGTCTGAATTTCAACCCTTACCGGTCTCTGTTTCGCTCTCCACCGAGGCCGTCCACGTATCTGGACCCTACAGCAGACTCCTGTGACGTGGGCGGGGGCTGGGAGGCACTGGGTGGTTGGGTCAGGTCCAGGACAGGGGAGCTGTGGTAGCTCTGCTGCTGCTGCTGACTCTGCCTGGTGTAGTCTTTCGTGATCACCTCCTGTAAATGAAACGCCCACAGTCAGGACAGATCCACACGCTCAGGTATCGATATCAGGACAGGTGTGTGGAGAAGGGGGACGTACGCTGATGTGCTGGGCCAGGGTGACCACCCTCTGGCTGCCTTTGACACAGGGGGACGGGGGCTGCTGGCCTGGAGACAGTCTCTCTTCAGACGGAGGTCGGTACAAAGCGTGCGGCTCGATCTTCTGCTGAGCTGTGAGTCAGAAACACACACACACAGAAACACACACAGGTAAACGTTAGTCCTGAGTTTTTGGTCTCTGGGGGGACAGGACTCAGGAGACCAGAACTGTTTCCATGAAAACATGCAGAAGTCAGAGATGTGGGTTCATCCATCAGGACTTCTGGTGGATGTGAAATATTTTCATTTCATCTGAACATGAGAAACACAAAGACGGGCTGTCCTGCAGAAACACACCTGAGAGTATTTTTAAACCTATTAATCACATTTAGTCTTTGCATACGAGGCGAGGACGACGCTGCCGAGAAATGAGGCCAAAATAGACGAGGTTTGCATAACTCGTAAATAAGGAAACCGCAGAGCTTCACACTTGAAGCGGCACAATACTGAGACTGCTGCCCATCCTCGAGACTGAAAAGCAGATCAGTTTCAAATCCTGAAAGTCACTTCCTTCACACACAGATATTAACTCCGTAAACTCGTCTCTCTATCTAAGGTCGTGTTTCTCTTGTGCGTGATGATGCTTCTCTGTGTTTTTCGCCTCGTCTCCTGAGAGGGTGATGTCAGCTGTGGAGTGGGGGCGGTCAGGACTACCGGGAGAGACCGGTTCCCTCAGAGCGACAGGATGCTGTGGTGACTGTTGTTACACCAGAGACTGTGGGTTCAGTTCAACAACAGCTCACGACGGCTTTATTTGTCTCTCTGCGACTTGTGGTGCGTTTCCAGCGAACGGTCCGGTTCAGTTCAGTCCGGTTAGTGTGGGAAATCCCGGGTCTGGTTTGCACTTCCACGGCTAACTTGACTCCTGAGAGCTTCGGGGGTAAATCCATGTATTTATCATTTTTTTATTGATCTTTGATTCCACTGCACTCCTCAACATTCTGCTTTTATCCACTCTGTATCTACTTTACACCTGTATGAAACCCTCTCTGATAAAACACAGCCATAAATCCTCATGGTACCTCTCACACGTACAGTATGATCCTCCTTCTTCTGCTCTCAATCAGCTGATTGCAGAGCGTCTAACTCCAGTATGTAAGATCAGAAGGTTTCACTTAAGACCCCAAAAGAAGGGTGCCAAAAAGTAGGGTGGTACCGATC